CACGTTGAGGAGGCTGATGGCACTAACGCTAACTCCAGACAACAGTCACACTGCGACAGCCCACTTTGTTTACCTGCCTGTCATCCCCCCAGGTCCTGTATTCATAAATGCGAATGCACCTCCTGGAAGCATGGGTGGCCTTGAATATGGTTGGGGGGACTGACGGGAGGCGTTGAAATTGTTTGCGCTAAGAGAAGGTTACGGCGGTAACCAGCCTGACCTACTTGTTTTTCAGCTATATGTTCACGCTTTCGCGCCTTATAACTGCATACGTGGCTAAATTGAATTGCGCCACCATGGCGAAATGCCCAGTTGGCACTCCGGGTTCACAAACAACTCCGAGGTAGAAGAAAAGACAGACAGTGTGAATGAGTAAGCGTGCTTGGGCTGAAATGGTTTGAATTTAACACGGGGCAGAGCCTTACACCTTTCCCTACCAATCAAAAAATCGTTTAAAATTTCTACATATAGCTGTCAAGCGTTCTCTCAGTAACAAAATGCGTTCTAGCGTACTGGTGTTGTTCTGTCTGCTGTTTGTGCTGCAAATATTTGGTAAGCATTTTTCATTTTCTGCACACTTAATGCAGTTAAATACCCTTTTTTAGTTAAGCTCGTTTGCGTAAACCCTAGAAAAATAAAAATGCCTCGCAGTGGTACGATATCATTCACTGTTATGTCTCTGCCTCTTGCAGAGGAGATGAATCCCGCCATTGATAAAGGGTGGAGATATAGTTGTCACCAGGGACGTGTTTTGTAAGGTGGCTTAGGAACTCTAAATTATTGCACACTGTTCTGCATCTATCCATAAAATTTAACCTGATTTCCAAATTACGAAATTATATGTTTATTATAGTTCGAGCTCAAAAGTCATTATGCAGTTGGCATAAAATGTAGTTTAGGCAGGAGCTTAAGTCTGATGAATGCAGCTAGTTGGCCAGTATTTGTCTACATCGATAGAATATTCATTCGAAAATAATTACGCACAACATCTACAGCAGATGTGTTAACTCATGAAACGTTACCCTTATTGTGAAATGCTGTTTCGACCCGAAAAGGTTGTAATATCGATCACCCTGCAGCAAAATTTCATGATAATTCCGGTACTTCAAATGCCCGCATTTGAATGAACTCCTCTCCGGCCGCCCGGAAAAACAACAGCCTGTAAAAACTAACTGCTTAATTAGTATGGATTATTCTCATTGATTTTTGACGCCCACATAAATTCAAATAGGTTGCATAGAAAACGCATAAAAATATTTATCCTTTTATTCGTTTGGTTGAAAATTATATCTTTTCATATTTTAAACCTGAGAAAAGTGCATGATTCGGTTTTAAAAAAATTCTAATTATGTGATTCCTTAAGACTGTAAAATACCGTTCATAAAACATGTCTCTGCATTTATTAGTGTTGCTTGTAACGTTTACGCTACGGCTCAAATTCACTGCTCAATTTCATAAACAGCATATGGTCCCCTCTTAATACCCTATATCAATGTATAATATTCTGCATGCGGAGAATGTATAGCTCTTAGTTTAGAAACACTTTACTTAAGTGTAGCGGCAGGTCGGGTTTAAAAGTACCCTGCAATGGAAAACGTTTTTTGAAACCAAACTACACATTCCTTTCAAGTATAAAACTTAAAGAGAATATAGTCGTTTACGAAATGAGTAAAAATGAACATTCTTATGCATATTTTCTAAGAGATTTACTTGAATGTATAAGGACATCGAAAATCATTGAGTAACATTCATGCTGTCTAAGCAGTCATCTCTTACGGAGTGTAGTTTTTGCAGGCGGCCGGCGGCAAGTTCGTTTAAAACCTTGTATCTTGAAGCAACTTATTTATCACCGGATTTTGCTGCGTAGGAATTGATAGTACAACCCTACTTGAGAGAGAGAAAGAGGAATGCTTTATTTTGAAAATAACTTTCAAAATTTTCAGCAAAAACGGTTCTCCAGTACACAGTGATTACCATAGAGATTAACAGGTATTGGACAGGTGGACATAATTATATATGAAGAAAAAAGGACTTTAAGGTGTAAGATCGAGTTTTAGTTTTTGTTTTTCAACATCTTTGCAGGTGAGATACCGGGCTAGAAATGGCAGTATGGAATTCCGATAGGCCGAAGTGCGGCAAGGGATATGGCGGAAGCATCGACGCATGGGGCGTAAGGATTTCGCAGCCATTAACTCATTATGAAGGGGATGGACGGTGTCATACAGAATTCGGTTAGCAAATTGCTCCACCGAGTTGAAGTGTCGCTGCACGATGATATCAACTAAAATATGATAGGAAACACCAGCAGCAGAGGCGAGCATTCGAATGACACGTTTAAAAATAATTAGATCTTTTATAAGTAAAGCTGGAAAAATAACTGGAGAACAATAAAGAATGAGTGGAAGAATACAGCCATCTATGAATCGCCAGATTAAGGACTGGGGTGTGTGATATGAACGTAGACGACGAATGTAATAAACAAGTTTTTGAATTTTTGTTAAAAGGGTTTCCATTTGAAGAGAGAAAGAGAGATTTGAGGATAAAGTAACACCTAGGTACCGGAAAGAAGATACCTCAGTGGGAAGTATATCCAAAGGTTCAGGAATGGGAGAGGGTCGCAATCGAAACACACACTGTACTGATTTCTGATTGTTGAGCAGGAGTCCATTATTTGAAGACCATGCGGAGACGTGATCTACTTAAGTAATCTCTTCGAGTTAAATATTTTTGGTTAATATTTCATCAGTTAGCACATTCACTGTTAGTTCGGCATCCAGAAAGCAGTTGATACGTCAGATCAAACGACGTGTAATGGTAAATTTGCAGGAATTACATCATGGACTAGTCACTGTCGAAGTGTCCTATAATAAAGATTTCAACAAAGCAGAATCTAGCTGAGAATAAAAGTGTTTCTTGAACCATCCGAGTCCAAAAATTAGGGATTTTTTTAATGCTTTCCCAATTGATCCTAGTTACGGAGACGTGTGTGGAAACAAACGCATAGTTACCAATAATTCCTGGGCAAATCTCGATGTGACTGTCGGTAGTCATGAGGGTACGATAAAATTAAACGCACGTGCATAACAGACCAGTGTTCGTTTGAAAATAGTTTTTAGCTTACAGGTCGAACGCGGAAGGGGGAATAGTTTTTAAAGGATTGAGCAAAAAACGCTGTTCCTAGATGCTAATTTCATTTTAAGAAAGTCTGTGTAATGTGAGAATTATTGATGCTTATCCTGCCTTAAAAGGACACTCAATTTGATTTTCCTTTAGTTGACGGTCACTCATTAGGGAGCCGTAAGTTTCATATTTGTTATTTTCCCACCTCTGCTAGCATAGATGACTGCATAGCTTATTTAAAGTCATATTTATATTCAAACGTATTAATACGTCGAATTTTCGGATGCTTGTCTTCTGGAGAGTAATCGACCAGAAAAACACTGAGGGGTCATTCAAGCCCCCAAAATCATCACTGAAGGAAATTGAGTTATTCATCATAAGGCAAACCCCTTTGGTGCAGGGATACGTTAGACGATCGCCATATATATAATAAGATGGTAAGGTGTCTTTCTTGTCGACGCGCATCGTGTTAGCTTTCAAATTGATCGAGTATTTTTGGCTAGTAAAGATCGCGCCATGTTGGTCTTATCTACTTTCGTCTATCTCTCCCTCACTGTCACGAAAGAGACCAGCATATTACTTATAAGGCACAGCCCCTGAGAAACTCGCATCACATGTCTGGCCGGCCCTGTGCGGTCAGCCATAAAGTTGCAACCCAGTTAAGTGGTTCGGACGCCTGAACACCCACTAGTTTTTTTTTCAGTAAAGGCGATAGCAGAAGTTCAGGGGTACACGATACACTGGCGGTGTCGATAGACATTATAAATGTTATTTAAGCAGTTGGATTATTTCAAGATCAGCGCACCATGTATATTGAGGTTTTAAATTAATCTTTTGACGATAAATAGTCAAATAAAAGAAATATCCCCCGATATACTCACCTTTTGGCATTCTTTTTGTCATTTCAGCTAAAGGTGAGTTTAATTCATAAAGCAACGCAGAGAATAACCCTTTTGAATAGATTTCATTTATTAGTGTAGCAAGGAGGCGACTGAGGGCTGAAAAGACCTGTTGCCTCCTTTTATTGTCACATACGTTATTGCAAATTAATTTATTAGACGAAGCAAAATTCTAAATAGATCAAATCCGACTCACATTATTCAGCGAGACGTTATATGAGGGAAAGGGGAGTAGAATAGATGGTGTGGCAGTATGGAAAATAAACAAAATCACCAAAACACGCCGGTAGAGTGAAAGTAGGAAAGAATGCGATGTCTGCTTGGCTCTGCGCGGTCAACCACAAAGTCGCAACCCAGTTAAGTGATTCAGACGCCTGAACACCCTCTAGTTTTTTTCCTCAGCAAAGCCGACAGCAGAGGCTCTGGGATACACGATATTTTGGCGGTGCCGATGGACAGTGTAAATGTTGTTTGAGCAGTTGGATTATTTCATGATCCGCGAGCCAGTTCTATTGATGTTTAGAATTAGTCACTTGACGATATGTAGCCATATAAAAGAAATAGCCCGCGATATACTAACCTTTTGGCTTTCTTTTTGTCATTTCAGCTAAGGGTGAGTTTTCATCATAAATCAACGAAGAAAAACCCCTTTTCAATAGGTTTCATTTATTATTTTACCAAGGAGGCAACTGAGAGCTCAAAAGACCTGTTGCCTCCTTTTATTGTCAGCTACGTTATTTGTCGGTCTAATTGACATAACTGGAAAGGGGGCCGAGTTTGCATGGGCAGAACTCAGTAAATCAGCGGAAGAAACGAGTGCCAACGAGGCTTTGCGCAGAACTCGGGATATGGACACCGGGTTCTTTTGCGGTTGTGTAATGCCTTTGTGAATCGAAACGAAATACTCGGAGAAACATATCAAGCCTTTCAAAACAATCATTCGCCAAAAGGTACGGCACACTGCTGGCAAATTCCGTCACCTCAACCACCACCATCATCCCCACCGCCACCACCACCACCACCACCACCACCATCATCATCATCACCACCACCACCACCACGACCGGGACATTCAATAATGGAACCCTCTACACCACCACTATCGCAACCACCCTCACTAAAATCATCGTCATTACCATCACCGTAACCATTAATACCACCCGGTTCCTCAGGTTCTGCTAGAAATCATGATTATGGACCGTCGGACGTGCACACTGCTGTCAGCCAGGACATACGTTTAATTTTGCCATTTTCTTTTAATTCCTATACACGGACTCGTAACGATTTCTTCGCACTCGGCTATGGACCTACGAGACGCGTACTAGGGGAAGCAGGCGTCTTCAAGCAGCATCGATTCACCAACTGTGCATTCAGTGGCTATCCGGGCTGCACAAACAGCACACCTTTGCTGGCAATGCGTTCTTCACATTTGCCTCATCTGCTTTGATAAAAGCTCGTTGCTCGTGGAGTTTGATTCTTTAACTAAGTGTCTTTAACATAAATGTTAGTCAGTCGCATCTTAAAGAAGCCCGGCAACAAGCATAGCTCTCGGCGCGGTCCGGCCGACCCCAGACCTCCACGCACGTCTCTCCGCTAGGATGATGTGCGTATGTGACGACACTGCGTATGCCGTGAGCACGGACCTCGTAACAAACTGCGTTACGCAGGCGTTTATAAGTTTGTGCTGGAACCGCACATGCTCATTATTCCTGCCGTATATGCGTACAGCACGCCCTGGATGCAGGCATTCTGGATGCTTTAGCCACTACCCCCCAGTCTCGTTACCAGCTGTCGTACGGGCTCGGAACGTCGACTGATGCATGGTGAGGGGTGCGAGGGCGAGATCGGCCATGGCGGATCGACGCATTTCTAACTACAATACGTATTATGCGTCAGAATCTACCAGAACGCGCTAAAAGTTGTAGCCTGGAAGGTTGTCAACTGACGGGGTAACGCGGTCTGTTGTGACATCCGCTCATTTGGGATCCAAGTCACACTTACAGGGACCTGGTACATGTAATGGGACGAGGAAGTGCGGGGTACGCACAGACAAGTTGTTTAGCTGTGTCGATCGACACGTTCGCGTCCATCCGCGGTCGTTTTGACACCGTCTAGACATCAGAGCATGGTGGGCAATTGAAGAGTGTGGTAGATGCTGCGCAAGATGACCCACCAAAAGTTACTTCACACGTCTCGTGGAGCACGAAGTTCACGTCTTCATTTGAGACGGTTAAGCAGCCGTTGTTGCTGTTGTCGTCATCGTCGTCGTCGTCGTCGTCCGATCATGTGGATGGTAGATGCTGCGATCCTGACGTCAAATGACGAAGGATCAACTCGCCAGGGCGAGTTGACCTGCTCCAGAGTCAGCACCGGTACGTATCCGCCAATCAAAGCAAGTCTTAAACCCCAACGTCAGACGGACCTGACGGTGAGGAATCGCGATTATGGCGGGGACGCCAACCACGCATCTCCGCCCTTCTCGATCCTCTGGAAGGGAGACCGCCACAGGATTCAGGCTGAGTAGGCTGCCTACCAGGGCAGGCTGTAGGTCTGCAAGACTCAGAGGAGGTCGAGCGACGACCGCATTGAGGAAGCGAGTAATGGACAGCTGCGCCGTCCCCCGCCTGCGGTCATCTTGACTCCGTCTTTTCACCGGGTCTAGGCGTGTTGTTCGACCGTGGAACTCACTCCCAAGTGAAATAGTGACATCTGATACAATGGCTGTATTCAAAAGACAGCTGGATGGTTTGATCTTTGATGAACAACGACTCTCGCTGCAGGTCTATCTGTGGCCAGCCATAAGTTTCCTTTCTTGATTTCATCCCTATGTAACATATCCCTGACGTTTAATGAAATTATCCCTCCCAAACTACGCAAATGACTGCACTTCAATCTGACTGTATGTAATCGTACTTAAAATTTAATAATTTAAAAGACCGCCTGCTGCACCCGCAGCCCCGCAATGTAAGGACGTTTTCCGCAGACACTGATTTTGCTTGCAAAATTTTAGTGAGATGTGAATATAACATTTATATTGTATGTACCGTTTTCAGTAGGGGTCATCAAGGGCATTGCCTATTACCCTAAAATACACTATATATACATAGTGCGGCAGATGCTGTGAAAGTCTATTCAAACTATAAACTAAATCACGCGAAAGTCACTGTGTCTGCTACACCATGCCGTGGAGCAACCGGCGGACATTTTCAGCAACAACGATTGAAATGTCGATAGACAGATGGCTGGTGAAGGAAAAAGAGAACACATCAAAAGGGAAAATAGGTTGAAGAAGGGTTCGAGTGAGAATTTAAAAAAATTCGGGCCAAAAAATTCCTACGTTCAGTGATTGAAGTTCCGTAAATTAAAATAAGCGAAATTCCCACAAAAAAACCGAATAATATTATTAAATGAAAAAACATGTCAGATATTAAGAAGGGAAAGCGGAGTAAGAAAGCAGGAGCGGCAGTAATAAATCAAAAAATAAGTAAAAAAACGAGATGAAGGCTATACTCAGCTAGAAGATAAGAAGATAAGATATACAGGTAGGCAAAATAAAGAGACAAGAAAAGGCAAATCACACAAAAAAACGCAGCGGAAAAAAAAACACGCATGATATTCGAAAATAGGATGACAAAATTCAAAAAATCACTTTCAATCAACGGATCATGATGCGGACTCAGATGTCAGTACATTCATTAATATAGTAGATTTTTCCCTCAAATTGTCATCAGAAGATTATGCGCATACATGCCCGAGGGTGACATCATTATTCATGTCAATGTTCTACATTTTTATGCTTCCTCCAGCCGGCGGCGCACACAAACCAGGTAAGTACATCAATCCCCACAAATATATTTGGCACGAGTTTACTAAATCTGCTAACTTAAAAATGCCGATAAGCGTGAGCACGGATGCTACCTTGCTGCAATTATACGACGCCCGCTTATGCAGCCTAGAGGATAACCGCAGATGAGTAACATCAGCGATTATAGTATCCAATACGATGCCTTATATCGTACACGCAAAATCATCGCAGGTATTAAAATCAGTCCACTGAGATGAGCATGATATTAACACCTCGGCAGACCACCTGTCGACCAAGATACGGACATTGGTACTTGTGACAGCCTAGAAAAGGTATATTTTGCAAAACATCGAAGTGGACACTAGCTCAACACATGAAACCCCTTCTTGCATAGTATTTCACTACCCAACTACCCACTTCCAATCAGCTGTCCATGATGCGGTCTTAGTTCTGTTCAGTTCAGTTTTATTAAGTGAAATGTAGGCGAGCGACTTTAAACTCCCTATTGGTTCGAAATATTTTGTGAGACGCTTTGATAGGTAGAAAGTTGAAGTGGGCCTTCGTGCATAATTGCCTGTGGATAGCAGACAGCTTCCAACTAGTTTAAAAAGAGTAATCGCTTAGGGTTATTCTGTCAATGTGGTGAGTATAAGCATGCATGATTTGGGCGGCGAGTTATGTGACTGATAGTAGGGAAGCTTGATACGCGTCGAGTCATTACTTAGATGCGTCCTCACAGGAGGAGAGTTCAGCATCAGTAGGCAGGGCATTGCACACTGCAGGCACTCTGTTACCGAAGAGGAACTTTCGTTCATTGATCCTTGCTTTACCGGTGCGTACTTTTCGGGGAATACCGTGCAAGGTGGGCGTGTTAGCTTTAGCGCAGTAATCATTGTGATCTAGGCAACAGTCTAGGCCATTTATAATGGGGCATGCTAGTATAAAGTCACCGCGTAGTTGCCTGTAGGAAAGAAGAAACAGATTGAGAATTGACAGTCTGGTTTCATAGGCCAGTGTTCACAGAACTTTTTGTCATTTTTTGTCGTTTGACTCTGAACCTTGTCAAAGACGTTATATTCCTTGACAGTCCAAGTTCTCCATACCTGTGTTGCGTATCATAGATGAGGCCGCACGACGGTGCCAAATATTTTGGAAAAGCAGTCAGTGTCAAATCCCATAAAGACTCACCTATGGAGTTGCAATTTAGTCATGGTCGACTTAGCCGCCTTCGCGCAGTTCACTGTTGGTTTGAGTGACGATGTTATTCACCCACTCAAGTCCTTCTGACTGTCAACTTGTTGCAGTTGCAGTAAGTCCTGGGGTTGGAGGCTCTGCAGCTACCGATTTGAAGAAAGTTGCAGTTGCTTACATTGAAGGGCGTAAGCCAGCGCTTCGACCAGTCCTTAAGCCTCTGCAAGTTTGTTTGCAGTTGATCTCCGTCTGGCGCCTGGTGAATCACTTTCCACAACTGTATGTCGTCAGCAAACTGGGTGGCATCACAGTCTAGTTCCCTGATGCAGTCATTAACGAAGACGAGGAATAACGTGTGGCCTAAGACTGAGCCTTGTGGGACATCAATCACCACGCTTCTCTCTGAGGATTGTTTGCGACCGGCCTGCACTATTTTGGACCGTCCGGTCAAAAAGCTCCGGATCCATACAAGGAGGCGTCCACGAATTCCTGCGTTGCGTAGTTTGTGCAAGAGATGCCTAGTAGGAACGCGAACGAAGGCCTTTCTGAAGTCGATGTAGTTGGCATGCACCACATTGCCTTCGTCGCCAGCTTTGGTCCAGCGTTCGATTGAAAAAAGCAGATTAGTGAGACAGGACGTGACACTTCGAAAGCCGTGCTTGGCATTGGAGAAGAGTTGATGCTGATTGGGGAACTGCATCAACGCACTCCTAATGATTTTCTTCATGACTTTGCAACAGATGGACATAAGGCTCACTGACATGTAGTTGTTCACAGACGCCCGAATTCCACCCTTCAAAAGCGGAGTGATGACAGCGAATGTCCTATTGGAGGGTAGGCGCTCAGTAAGAAATGACATTTAGAAGAGCAAGGCTAATGTTTGGGATAATTACGGGGCATGTTTTGCAGAGCATCGAAGTGGACACAAACTTAACCCTACAAGCCATTCTTACATAGTATTTCACAACCCAACTACTCACTTTCAATCAACGGATCATAATGTGGACTCAGATATCAGTACATTCAGTAATACAGTAGAATTTTTCCTCAAATTGTCATCAGAAGATTATGCGCATACATGCCCGAGGGTGACATCATTATTCATGTCAATGTTCTATATTTTTATGCTTTCTCCAGCCGGCGGCGCACACAAACCAGGTAAGTACAAAAATGCCCACAAATACATTTGGCACGAGTTTACTTAATCTGCCAACTTAAAAATGCCGATAAGCGTGAGCACGGATGCCACCTTGCTGCAATTATACGACGCCCGCTTATGCAGCCTAGAGGATAACCGCAGATGAGTAACATCAGCGATTATAGTATCCAATACGATGCCTTATATCGTACACACAAAATCATCGACGGGATTAAAATCAGTCCACTGTGACGAGCATGAAATTAACCCCTCGGTAGATGACCTTTCGACCAAGATACGGACGTTGGCACTTGCGACAGCCTAGAAAAGGCATATTCTGCAAAGCATCGAAGTGGACACTAGCTCAATCCATGAAACCCCTTGTTGCATACTATTTCGCCACCCAGCTACCCACTTTCAATCAGCTGTCCATGATGCTGTCTTAGTTCTGTTCATTTCAGTTTTATTAAGTGAAATGTAGGCGAGCGACTTTAAACTCCCTATTGGTTCGAAATATTTTGTGAGACGCTTTGATAGGTAGAAAGTTGAAGTGGGCCTTCGTGCATAATTGCCTGTGGATAGCAGACAGCTTCCAACTAGTTTAAAAAGAGTAATCGCTTAGGGTTATTCTGTCAATGTGGTGAGTATAAGCATGCATGATTTGGGCGGCGAGTTATGTGACTGATAGTAGGGAAGCTTGATACGCGTCGAGTCATTACTTAGATGCGTCCTC